GAGAAAAGAAACAAAGGGTTCCGACCCTTAGACGTTTCTAGAGAAAAGAGAAAGGAAACAAGGGTTCCGACCCTTAGACGTTTCTAGAGAAAAGAGAAAAGAAACAAGGGTTCCGACCCTTAGACGTTTCTAGAGAAAAAAGAAAAGAAACAAAGGGTTCCGACCCTTAGACGTTTCTAAAGAAAATAGAACAGAAACAAGGGTTCCGACCCTTAGACGTTTCTTAGAGAAAAAGAGAAAAGAAACAAGGGTTCCGACCCTTAGACGTTTCTAGAGAAAAGAGAAAAGAAACAAGGGTTCCGACCCTTAGACGTTTCTAGGGAAAAAGAGAAAAGAAACAAGGGTTCCGACCCTTAGACATTTCTAGAGGGAAAAGGAGCTACCACCGAAGAGTCGCCTCGACTGAGGGACTCGGCGAATAAAGAAGGAATCGAGGGTCCGAACCCTTAGAAGTTTATTAAAGAAAGAAAAAGTTACAGCCGAGATTCACTTGGACGGCTAAAGAAAGAAGGGGCTCGAAGCCAGAGGGTCGCATCCACTGAAGCAGTCGGTCATATGGCAAACGGAGAGAAGTCATGAGGATGGAGTCGTGTGGGATCTTGAATAAAGAGTCGGCAAGAATCAAGGGGGATAATTTTGAGGCAAGACAATATACTTTTCCATGTCCTGCTAAGCGCGAGACATAGAAAAGTGAGGGACTAGTTGATGGGGTGTGAACCCCGTGGGCTCGGGGCCCAAGAAGAAAAGAGATCAAGCCCAGAAGAAGAAGAGAAGCCCAAGAAGAAAATGGAGCAAGCCCAAAAATAGATATGGGTCAAACCGATGAGTCGGCTCGACCCAGGAGGTCAGCACGGGTAGGGGGTCGGTCTAACTAGCCGTTATTCTTACATTATCACCCTTAAAGTCCTATTTACTACCCCACCATTCCTAACCTCCCACTTATTACCCCATCTTATTACCCCATTATTATTATTATTCATAACCCCCTAATTATCACCCATCACTACCCTACTAAATGTCCAACGGACACTTTTGGGATGGGCTAGCTATAAAAAGGAGGGGAAGACAAGAAGAAAGGGGCAACTCACTCATACACACATGGGAGGACTCTCCCAAGCACTCTTCCTATACACTTAAAGACTACTATTACTCTCCCACAACCACTCTCCCAAGAAGGCCTCATTCCACAATATACCAAGAAGGCTTCATCACTCTTCCAAGCAAGAAGACTCCAAGAGAAGACTCCACCACCATTCCATCAAGAAGCACACTCCGTCTCTCAATGTACAAAAGTATAGCTCGAAATGGTATACTTGAAAACAAATTAATAAGCCCCACCTAACTAAATGGCAAGTTAAAGTTGGTGCAAAGACCATTAAAAGTCGTGTAAGGACATTTGAAAGCATTGCAAATTTTGTAAGGTTTTTCAAATGTTGGAGATGGATTTGGAATTTATTAAAAAAAAAAAAAAAAAAAACTGCCACACAAGATTGATCGAAATGGTACCCTAGAAGAGTCTAACCAATCAATGTAAAATTGGAAGTCATAGGATAAAATATATACTTATAGAAGATATGTAATTAAGGCTAATCTCATCCCTGTAATTTTGGTGCTTTCAAAGTAACATAACATGTTTTTGTATAAAATAATTAATTATTTATTTTTTTTCTTACATGTCTTGAAAGCTTGCAAAAGAAATCTTACAAAGGACATAAAAAACTGTCATTTTAGCAACTTTTGCTACCATTTGGCGGTTCTCCTATATTTTTTTTAAAAAAAATATTTATTAAAAGTGGGATCATTTTTTGAAAGTGAGAGAGTATTACACGAATAAGGATAGTCTATGTTTTGAATGAAAATAGCAAGGACGATAAGAGTATGGATGCGAATTTTAACTCAAAAATCGAAAGCTTGCTTGAAAAAGAATTAAAAGACTAATATGTTAGGGCAAAAAAAAAAAATAGCTTGATAGTCCAAAACAAATAAAACAACAGCCGCTAACCCGAAATCTAGTGAGATGGTAAGATGGATCGAGTCACTCAAGATAATTACTCTTTGTTTCACAATCGATGTAGAACAAAATGCATATGTGGGAGCATATACGTTGTTGGCTCCTTTTTAGCCTCGTTTTTATTTTTATTATTTTTTATCATGTTTTAAAATAAAATTTTACATAATTTAGAGTAAATTCCACTAAAGATCCTCTAGGTTTGAAGTAGTACCACCTTTGGTCCTCAATTTACAAGCTTACCACAATAAGTCATCCAACTTCTCTAAAGTTACCACTCAATTTATTACAAATTCAATGAGTATTTATGAATTGAAATGAATAGTGAAAATAAAATTTATTATAATTATTATATTATAAATGTAAATAAATTAATTTTTAATTTGTTAAAATTTTAAATAAAATAAATTTATTAATATAAAAATAAATTTTTATATTTTATACAAAATGTGTATAATTGTTACAATATACGGAATATTTTTTTAGTTGAATTTGAAATGAGAAGTTTTAAGGAAAAAAAAAAAAGTTTATATTTATTAATGTAAATATATTAGTTTGTTAAAATTGAAAGATTAACATACATATTAATTTTAAAATATACAAAATTTTAAATGAACTCAACCAAATAATCTGATAACCAAAGATTTTAAGATTGAGGCAACAAAATTTAATTTGATAAAAAAAAAAATTATCAACTCAAACTTGACAGATTATATCATGGACTAGATCAACCTTACATTGTGGGCGTTGATTCAAGACGACATTCATATTATATATTTGCAATTAATATATTATGTGTGTATGCAGATAAAGTGAATGTATATAATATGTTACCTGCATATGTATAATATATAAATTATAATATGTGCATATGTATAATATATAAATTATAATATGTGCCCGCTTTTTTATTTTTATTTTTAAAATTTTTTAAATATTTTTTAGGAAGTTTTTTGCCAAAAAAAAGGTTCGGCCACCTAGACTGCCTAGGAGGCCGCCTAAGCGGCAGCCTAGCCCGCATAGGCGCTCGGCCACAGAGGAGGTCGATTTCGGCGTTCCTTTACGCGGCCAGGCGCCGATTAATCGGCGACTAGACGCGATTTTTGTAACCATGCATATGGTAGACTTTGATCCACAATGTAATGTAATAATTGCTCAAACTTATTAGTGTATAATGATTTAAATAAACTAAATCGAAACTGATTGAATGGACCGATTGACATCCTTAGTACAACTACACAAAAGTTTGAAAGGCTTGTTTGTACGGATTTAGAAATGAGGAAGACAGATGAATATAGTGATGTCCTACAAACAGTAAAAAGTTTGATTGTAACTGTGAGACTCAAAGATTTTTACTGTGGTCAAGACTCGAAGATGATGCATTGTCGATTTCTTGCATTCATCTGTAGATTAAATTAAAAGTACATAAAATTAACTGAAAGAATTAAATTCAAACTTTACCGGCTGCTGATACGAGATTTGCTACCCATTTTTGGGCCCCCACTTGCTTTTTGAATCTTAAAAAAAAAAAAAAAAAAACATGTATATATTATATTTAATTGAGATAGTTATGTATATACTTTTATTTATTTATAAGAGCTTCCTCATCTGCCCCAAAATTTTCATCATTTTTTAGATGCCAATTAAGAGAGAGAGGAGGGAGGAAAAAAAAAAGTAACAAAAAGACAAAGAAAAAAAAAGTCTGACACGCAAAAAAAAATTTTTAAAAAAAAAAGCTACGCAATTTACGCGCCACGCGTGCACCGGTTGGGCGCTGTCTATGCCGCAAACGCGAGCCACAACACCTGTTTTTTGTGTTTCTCTCTCTTGCGGGTCTCACAAAAAATCATACACTTGCATGGAGACCTTGGTCTTCTCTCTTTGCCTTCTCTCTCTTTCACATGGCAAAAAAAATGCAAAAACTAAATAAAAACGGCTGATGGTGATGCTCTAAGAGCAACAATATCAGTTAGGAATTTTAATGAGTTTTTGCAGGGATGACAAGAAAAGAGAATGAGAGAGCATGAAAAAAAAATACAAAAGAAAAAACTTGAAATTGCTTTAACGCACTACACGTGCCAGCTGGGCGCTACAGATACGCCAAACGCACACATGCATGTTGCTTTCCCAAGTTATTCCCAATTAATGGGGCCAACAAACAAATTTAATTTACAATAATAAAAACCCTCATTTCCATTAGTTAAAAACTCATTCCCAATTCTTTTATTCCGAAAGAAAACCACTTAAGAACCCTTGATAGGGATGCCTAAGATAATATTTCAAATTTTGTATGACAAGTGTCACCGTTTCTATTTTTAGAAGTTTTAATTTTGTGTGATAAATGTTACTCTATACTATTTTAATTTTTAATTATCAATCAAGTGATTTTTTTAATTCCTCCATTAATTGTTCTGTTAAAATTTACCATAACTATTTAAAAACTCAAGTGAAAATGAAAATTTAAATTTATTTCTTACTTCTCTTCTTTCCCTAGATTGCACTCTAATTTGCCAACTTAGTGATGATTTTTTTTTTTTTTTAATGTGAACCACTAACATCTATTATATTAATGATTTAGAGAGAAAAAAAAAAAACAAAAAACAAAAAACAAAGAAACAAACAGTGAAGGTAAATGACATGTGTCTCTTGCCATTAAATTTGGAACCAAACAAAAAAATTTGTGGAGTTAGGGTGCAACACATCCTCCATCTATTGCAAGTTATCACAGAACTTACTCTTGTCCCCTCTTAATTGAAGATGTCAATTATAACACGTGCTCAGTCAAACCCGTCACACATGATCTCGAGTAAATGGCCACAAGTTTCTTTCGTCATCCCAAAAATAGAGAGAACATTATTTTAAAGGTGGAAGGGAGTATTTATTAGGTGTTAAATGTTTTGAGTGTCAATTTCAACCCATTTCCCAAATTAACTCAAACAAATTTCATATGATCTTCCCTCCTGCAAAGATTTGGGTGAAATTGAGTATTGTGTTCAAACAGGAAAAAATTGTCATCCCATACCAAGTAACACAATGAAATGGAATATTCTTCAAAGCTTTTATTATTAAAATAAAAAATAAAAAATTACAACTATAGCTATAAATACTGTATCAAACAGAGATATGGTTATAGTGAACTCACTGGACTACTCATTTGTCCTGTCCGCCCATGCACGACTGTTTCAAAGAACATCCGTCACGAAGATACCAAATTGCAGCTGGAACCGTGATTGAGTTCACCATTTTGCGGATTGATTCTTAGTGGTAGGCATGACCAAACCTTCACAAGTTATGCCTTTAAACGAACAACTTAGACTAAAATGGGTTAGGAAATGGCGAGCATGAAAGTCACTGAATCCGTTCAGTCGCCCACTTCCTCCTACTTGTAGGACCTGAGTTGCTTGGGCCATCATTCCATACCATCTCCATCTACCAACAAGGTAAAAAGGGTAAAAGTTTAAGTAGAAGCTCAATACAACTAAACCTTATCTAATATTCAGGTAAAACAGATAAAAACTCGAGAACAAATCTTCTTAGTCTCCACTTAGCTATGGCAATCTGTCAAAATTCATACTAGCTGAATGGAAGGAAGCCTTTTCTTTCCAAAAATAAAACCCATTTGGCTTTTTAAGTAATTTAGCATAAAAGTAATCCATAATACTAAACCATCAAAAAAACTTACATCCCCAACAATGACAGTGTCGCCTTCCTTTACACCAAGTTTTATGAGAGATTTATTTACACCACTTGCCTCCAGAACATGTTGAAATCTTCTCTCAGAATCTATATATCTGTTCCAAGTAACAAAAGCCAACTATATTATCACATCTTTTAAAATAAGCTGTAAAGTTATCCCCGAGAAATGTTCTCTCAGAATCTTCACATTGCATACTCAAAGCCCATTAAGTCTCTGCCTAACTCGAATACAGGATACCGGACAATGAGAATAAGATCTTTAAACTTTGGAGACATCATCCCAATTGAGGGAAAATGGAAACAATGGCCTTTAATGCAGAGTATTGTGAACTTAGCTCCCATTTCAACATGGAATAGAGATGTGCAGATAATTCAGGGAATAACTTACGTACAACAAAAGAAGATTGAAGAAATAGGACTTTCCTTACCTCCAGTTTGTCATTTGGATAAAACGCTGCAGGCCTGATCCCACAACATGCCATGTATTGGAAGCATCATCGTGAGATATCTCAAATTCAGTTATTGGAGCATTTTTCTCTTTTTGCAATGTATCAGCCACATAGTTCAAATTTTCTGGACCTACTGCATCTGAAACAAAAGAAATTGTTTGTGAAACCAATGTGGTGAATGGAGCTGAACAAACCTAAATCACTCGTGTTTTTTGATAATAAAGCAACTAATTCATTATCAAATTACGAAGCAGAATGCCCAAATGAAAGAGCACACTGTTCCTGTATTATCTGTTCTTATTTCTTATTTACTCTGTATTACGTTAATGTTAAAGAAAGGGATAATCACACTTTTGGACCCTCAAGTTGGCCATTATGTAACTTAGTCCCTCATTTTCAATTTCAGTCAATATGGTCCCTCAATTGTTTATCGTGTAACTCACCTTCTTCCTCAGCAGCAGTTCTTCTCCTGCGAACAAGCTCATATGCAGCGCATATCACTTCATGTGTACCGTCTTTCTTCACTGCACTCATGCAAAAAGGCTCATACCCACGGCTTTGCAGGCTGTCCCTGAAGGATAGCCAATTTTCAGATGCTTCTGGAAGATCCATTTTGTTGTACACAACTAAACAAGGCTTCTCAGCAAGCTCAGGACTAAACATTTCCAACTCAAGACGAACAGCGTCAAACTCATATTCTGGCTGTTCAGATGACCCATCAACAACATGCACCTAAACTCCTCAAAATAATAGTTCCCCAATCAGTTAAACAAGTAAACTTTAAAGAATCCAAAGTAAGAAAGCATATAAAGAAAGGCATTAGCCAAATTCAGGAACTGGAAAGTTAACTGTTCACTGATATGGAAAGATTAGATGCCAATTACAGTCATGGAGGCTGCGAATGGGGGTAAGATTTATCATGCATAAGCAACACAAGAAAGTTAATGTAAGAATTGAGAAGATACACTACCATCCCTATTGTTTTCACAAAGTAAAATTACTGGAGCAGTCGAACAAATACAATTATAACAACTGCATCCAAATCATCAGAATATAACACAATTCTTGCTGAATATAAATTCCCCAATCATATGACACTATAATGTTTGCTATTGTGAAGACAGATGATAAAGGATTAATAATTTCAACAAAAAAAAAAAAAACTATACTGCGCAAGTCTATACCAGAACTGAACATCTTTCAGAGTGACGAAGAAATTCATGACCTAAACCAAAACCTCGATGTGCCCCTTCAAGTAAACCAGGCAAATCGGCTACGACCATTGTAGAATCATAATCAAATGAAACCACGCCCAAATTTGGGAGCAAAGTGGTGAAGGGGTAATTTGCAATAGTAGGCTGAGCCGCACTAATAACGCTGAGATAAGTACTTTTCCCGGCATTTGGAGCTCCCACAATTCCAACATCCGCAACCAACTTAAGCTCCAATTCCAACCACCTGGTCAAAAAGACCATTACTTCTATGCAAAGATGAGCACATGCACCAAAAACCATTAATGGGAAGGAAAAAACATTACTAGTCGTGTTAACATCAGAACTTAAAGTTAGGAAAGTGAACAAAAGTTTTGGACTTTTCATTCTAAGTTCTACATTCAACTGAAATGTAAGTGCAAGTTCTATTGTAATGAGGCACAAATTGAATTTAGACGCTGGAATTAGTAATTAATTAGGAAATGCAATAATCATCAATAAAAGCAAGATAATCCTTAAAAGCTATTTCAAATATAAATAGACATTCTTGTAATGATATCCCAATTTAAGAACACTAAGGATCAGAAAAAGCATACTCACATCTCTGGACCTTCTTCTCCATTCTCTGCTATCCTGGGCGCCTTATTCACCCCAGTCTTAAACGAAGCATTCCCTCTCCCACCTCTCCCTCCACGCAGCAACAATGCCCTCTGCCCCGGATGCAACAACTCCAAAAGCACATTTCCTTGCTCTCCACCATTACCAGACTCCCTAACAACCGTCCCGGGCGGCACCTTTACCACCACATCCTCACCCTTGGCACCAAACTGCTTCTTTCCCAGGCCATGGCCTCCCCTCCCAGCTCTAAAATGTACAGTCTGCCTAAAAGGCAATAACGAATTCATGGAACCATCTACCTCCACATAAACACACCCTCCCCTCCCTCCATCTCCTCCTGCTGGCCCTCCCAATGGCACAAACTTCTCTCTCCGAAACGCCACCACGCCGTTCCCTCCATCCCCAGCTTTCACATATATCTTCGCTCTATCGAAACACCTCATCACCGCCGGCACGCCCTTCTCCTTCTCCTTCACTTCCGCCCCTTCCCCTTCAAACACCCCATCCCCAAAACCTATGACTACGTCGTCGTTGTCGTCATCATCCTCATCATCACTTCCATCAAACTCATTCTCTGAATCAACTTCATACAACTCAAACTTACCATAATCAAACCCTGAATTCTCCTCACTTTCATCAATTTCCGAGAATTCGGCATCTTCCTCTGAACGGAATTCTTTCACTTCGAACGGAATGCTGGACTCGTAGAGCCTGATTTCCTCCGAATTACGGGGAGGCGAGACGCAGAAGTCTTCTTTCGGAGGTAGTCGAGTGTAAGTGGTAGCGGTGTCACCGGCGGAGGTAGAGAGCGGCGTTGGCGGCCGGAATTCACCGGACTTGAGAGTGCGGTGGTTGGATTTTCTTCTTCTGGTGTTCGTTAACACTCGTTTAGGGTTGGGCGTTCGAGCCTGGCAGCGAAGAGAGAAGTAGGATAGAGAAGTAGCGGAGAGAGAGGCAGCCGCCATGTTTAGCTCAGAGCATTCCCGCCGCTGAGAAGGCGAGAGGGAAATGGGCGGATAACTTGCTACGTGGTGCTGTATTACAAAATTTTTGTTTCTTTTACATTTTGTTTGAAAAATACTATGGTTATGTTTGGTAAAATAGTTAGATTATAGGTCAATTTTGACTTATTTGATCATTATTAATTTTTTAATTTAGTTTAAAAATTAATATAAGTGTTTGATTAATTAGTTTTTTGTAATTTCAAAATGTTAAAATTCAAAAAGCTACTCAAACCAATTTTTTCAATTAGTTTTTTAGAAAAGAAATTATATTAAACAGCTATCAGCTAATTTACCAAACATCTTTCTACCAGCTAATGTTATCAATTAGTTATACCTTCTAATTAACACAATCAGTTAACAACTAACAACTATTCATTTATCAAACAGGGCCTATATAACTATGTTTGGCAAACCTAGCTGAAGAGCTGCGATGTTTAATATTGGTTGGTAAAAGTAGCTTTTTGATAAGCTAATAAATGTAACAAGACTAAAAATGACATTTTCATAAAATTTAAATTAGTTTGTTTACATATTAAAATTTAACATTTTGTCTTCAAAAAAAATTTAACATTTTGAAATAAAACTATTAGCATAATCATGATCTAGCATCACATAACGAAGTAACAATATTGTTGCGAATCTCCTTCATATCAATAGAGGCCTGACTTAAATTTTCGTTGATCTAGCATCTCATAATGAAGGGATTGTCGAGCGGTGAAAGTTGCGAATAAAGGAGAAGAGAAAATGGTTTTAATTGGGAAGGATAAAGGATGTCATTTCTTTAAAATAATAAGGATAAAGATGGAAAAACAAAGTTAAGAAGCTACTAGCTTATTTTGAAACGCTACCGTTCCAAAATAAGCTCTTATAACATTACCAAATAGAGCGTCTCCTAACTAAGCTCTACCAAACATAGCATGTATGTACTCTCGTAACTCATTCTTTATTTTCAACTTTTACTTCCACACTTAAAATTTTGATATAGACATTTTATAGAGGTTTGAGAGAGTATGATTTGGGACTTGGGAGTACTTGTATTAGAACTCATTTTGTTTTTTCTTTAGTAAAACTTTAGTACATATGGACTGTTTCGTACTTTGGTTTAGGAAATGTAAAATCAAATCAGGTAATAAAATTGCTTTTAAGAAATGTTAGATTACCATATTTGTTTGGTTAAAATTGTAAAAATGTCCTAGTGTTCTAAAAATAAATTTTCGTGTTCATCTAAAATATGAACGGATAAAGATATTTACGCTAAAAAAAAGTAAAAATTTGATAGAATATGCATGCATGGATGAAAAAAAATAATAATAATAATAAAGCAGATGGTATTATTGACATTTTCACCAGATCAGAGTGTGCTATAGGTTTTCAATATGCATTTTACTGAATAGCATTAGCATGCAACTCGGAAAGAGCTTATTGCTTTGGCTTTGTTGATGAATACAAGACAGGTTCCCATCTTTTGTTTCTGCTATACTTACATAATATAATTCTGGACCGTTACACTCTACCGCTTACACACTTAACATAACTCTACACAACCATAGTGTTCTGCATACAGATTACAGAACAACACATCAGAATCTATTGCTGTAAAATCTTTAAAACATCATCTTACTCCAGCTTCTTCTGTGCAAAACGAGGAAATCATTCATTCTATCCTTCTTCCACCGGCTCCTCCTCTTCTTGGAGAAGGTTCTCTCGGTTGTCGTGGGCCCAGAAACCACGGACATCAACCAGCATGCTTGCAACAGTCCCACCTTGCTTGCATGACAGCAAATCAGCCAGTGTTATATGCAAAGGGTCAGTAGGCTTCACCATATCCCATATTTCATCTCTCACATCCTCTATGCATAGTTCATAGTTCCCTCCTTCAATCCATTTTTGATGCACATCTCTGGTTTGTCACAAAAACACATTCCATATAAATACTTCACCATATCAAAGTGTAAAACATTATATCAACAAGTAGCAAAAGAAACAATGGCAGGGCGATTTTAATACAAAAGGATTGTTAATTGGGTGCACATGTATCTGGTAACTTGAGACTCACAGAACATGCTCAGGAACCACAAGCAGGAAATCCCAGAATTTCTTTTTAGGAAGACTGAATCAGGGAGCATCTCAACTTATCAAGACTCCCCTTCTTTACTTCCATTTGGTTGTTGCTTTGCTCAGTTTTATAAGTCATAAATGCCCAACAGAATAGACTAGCAACCATTGATACAATCAAGCACAAGAAGGCATGAAAGACTAACTAAATTGGGAAATAAACCTTGCGTTCTGTATCAATATGTCAAATCCAATAGATTTTATTTTAACTTTCTCACCTGAAGAGAGTATAAATATCAGCTGTTGTTAAGAAACCCCTCCCGTGTAGATCAAGACACCGGAACAGATATGTCAATCCCTCAGGAGTGTCTTTGTTTTCTAGGGCCAAAACAAAGTCAAGAAAACTTTCAAAATCCATCTCACGACCATTAACACCTCCACCTTTCCCACGTCGGACATGCTCATCAAAAACTACGGGCAAGACAAATAAAAAATATTAAACAAAGTACAACACAAGTACACAACACCAGTGCCATTCACCACCATAGAAGTTCCATATATATATATATATATATAAGACAAGAATGGTCCACAATTTTACATATAGCAAATCCAATCCACAATATATATATATATATATATATATATATATATATAAAAGACAAGAATGGTCCACAATTTTACATATAGCAAATCCAATCAATTAGTGTCAAACACTCTCTATATGAATTTGCAGACATCACTTGGACATTTCTGTCCCTAACCATTAGAAGAAATGATAAAATTTTACCTCTCTCAATAAAAATATCTGTCAGTGTCCCATCTGCATATTCTCGGAGTTCTTGTTTGCTCAATGTTCCATTCATATCTTTATCAAGAGCAAGGAACATATCTGCAAGATTTAATGAAGAACCTGAGCACTGAATATCACTGGAACATAGTTGAGTAAACAGTTGCATGAAATATTAATAGCAAATATTTAAAGAATTAGAGTCATGCATTTATAAGATTAGTGAATTTAATTAATTGTTCTCATTAAAGGGAGAATGCTAAGTTAAAGTGAATCTCACCAGAGTGTGAAGAGGGAAGGAACGACCAAGAAGGCTAGTGTAACTAGGAAAACAAATTGTTTTTTATGTTTTAATTTCACAAACAGAAATTGTCAAGTGGTATAAGCAATCCCTGAATGTTACACAACCTTCATCCTATTATTACATCAAATCCTCTAGCTGTTTCGAAATTAAACATTAGGTGAACTTTGCAATCCACAAAGGGCCACAAAGGTTGGAAGTACTGACAAACAGTTATTTTGCTTCTTTCTAATGCAGATGGTTAAAAAAGTTTCATCAGATTAAGAGACCATCCAGACTATTTAAGAAAATATATAAAGTGAATTCGCGTTTAATTAAACCAAGATTGACTAATTTCTTGCTACCCAGCTTGCTTCACCATTATATTTCACATTCTTAAGAAGTGTTGGATTATAAGAATCAGAATCAATTGAAAATTAAGGCGAGATGGGATGCAATTCACTGCTTAATGATGCAAATTCAAAATAGAGGAGAACTAGAAAATGATACCTACACATCAACATGGATTTATCTCAATAAAGAGATCCCTATACTTACCACATATGCGCTGTGCAGAAGCCAATGAAAACCAGTTTTCAGCTTGTTCAGCATCAGTGACTTCTTCCTCACTTTCCTAGTGATCAGAAGGGATAAAACCATGTCAGTGCTTGTGAACAGGCATATAGCTTCCTAGTTTCAGATACACCTAAACATGATATTACGTTGAAAGACTGAAAAAGTTACAAGGAGACAACTCCTAGATGCTAAATTTATCAATGGCTCCTTAGTCACTAAGCTAGCAATACAGCCATATTACCTGATGTAGTTCCATCAGCTCTTGAAGACAGTTACTAAGCAGAATCTTCTTTATGCATCCCTTTCCTGTTGTAGCATGATAGTTTGTGTGCTTAGTTGAAAAAGTAACATTTTTACAAGAAAAAACTTCCAACCTAAGTAGCATCATATATCTCAGTATAAGAGGCAAACCTCGTCGATTGGGATCACAAAAGAAGAAAAATTTATGTGCAGCTATGCGACAATACATTTGCACAAAGGCTGCAGGCATGTCACGTAGTTGTGCCAGATTAGGAATAAGGCCCCGTATGTAAGCCTCCATCTCCTGTTCAAACATTACACATAAGCACCTTTACAGTAAGTAACCACTAACTGAATAAGGAAGCGAAGACTACAATCCAAGATTAAAACAAAAGCTAGGAAGATCAAGGAGCCAGACATGAGGTTGAAGGAAGCCATCAGAATCTTCATCAAGCTCACTCATATCTATCCTTGCCTGTGTCAGTGACACCTAAAAGTAATCAAGAAAGAAAATTGGATGTCACCATAAAATTGACAGAGAACAGAGTCAAAAGGGATCATCTTTAGGCTCTCAATTTAGGTATAAACAGATTTTAATACATCAATGCGAATTCCTGGAAACTGAAATAGAAGATACTTATCAATTAAGATCAGGACAAATAGTGAATCCCATCAACAAGGGCAGCACCAATCACATAAATATCAGGAATAAAACTCAAGCATTGTTGAACATAACTACAATGTTACAATAGCAAAGAAATGGAGAAGGGAAGTTCAATAAAAACAACTTAACAATACCCACCGTGCGCATCACATAAAGGTAGAAGGGCAGAATAGCTATTCTGCCTGATTCGTCTTTCTCAAACTTCATGAAATTTGAAGGACTGAAAAAGCGTCGACATTTAGGGCCTATTTGTTCTGTACAGACAGAGGCAATGTGGCAAAAGTCTTCATAGTTCATCTAAAAGATTACAAAAAGAAAGATGCACTCAATACAATTCCATGCTTCAATGTAAATAAATAAAGAAATAAACACCAAAGAAAATCCAAGGATATGCACCATAAGACAGAAAACAGATCCAATTTAAGAAGAAGGA